GCAAATTAAAAGATAAATGTAGATAGGGCTGGGCACGGTTCGGATACTCGAGTTTTTTGAGGTATTTGCTAACCGAACCGAACCGAGCAAATATTCGAACTTGCTAACCGAAACCGAACCGAACCGAACCGAGCAAACCTAATACAAATCTGTGTTAGGTTTGCTCAGTTCGGTTCGGTTAATTCGCGAATAGCCATACCAACAAGTTAGTTTAATATAAATATAATATATAATATATAATATAATATATATTTTATAAATTTTAATATAATATATGGTTCGGTTCGGTTCGGTTAAGCGGGGTAAAAAAAATCCTAAAAACCGTAACCGAACCGAACCGAGCAAATACTTCCTTTGAGGTATTTGTAACCGAACCGAGTATCTCGGTTAATCGAAAATTTGGTTCGATTTCGATTCGGATCTATGATTCAGTGGTTCGGTTCGAATTTTTTGCCCACACTCTCGAGGATTTCGCAGAAAAAATCTTTTATATAAATATAAACATTTTATATAAACATTAATAATTTTTGAATTTATCCGGAAATGAGGGAGACTTTTTATACCGCGGGCCCGCGCTGTTAGAATGTGAGGCCCTCTTTTTGGCGCACACACTTATACAATTCTCCACGGATCACAGCAACACTCCATCACTCGACAATCTTCCCTTACCAATCGAGACACATTTGGATCGCAACCAATTTTTTGATCTTCACCAGCACTGGCGGTTTCAGGTGTTTCATCTTTCTTCCTAGTTGCTATTTCGATCTCATTTTCACTAGGTTAGATTGATTTTTCATCTGCTATGTTTTGCAATTTGCCTTATTCAATTCCATTGGTGAATAGCATTTGGAGTTCTGTGAAAAGTGTGATTAATTTTCATCTGTATAATAATTTCGGGTTAGGGAGTGAGTCGAATGACTCATCGTCTCCATATCTGTGTTTCGGGCTGTGATTTGCATGTTTGTTTGTTGAAGACAAATGAGTCTGTGCTCTAATGTATACTCAGAAAGCTCATGAAAAATTGAATCAGTTTTCCAGAAAGCAGTGAGACTGCTGCTCAGTTTGTTAACCCTAATGCCTTTCTGATGTCTGTCGCACAAGTTCCGATTTTGATTGATATAGCAGAGTATCGGTAGCGGCTAAAATGAGTGTGATTTAGTTATCTCTGCTTTTGTATTTGGTTTGCCATCATTTGGAATTATGGCTGATGCTGTTTTCTGTGTTTCGGGCTGTGATTTGCATGTTTGTTTGATGAAGACAAATGACTCTGTGCTCTAATGTATACACAGAAAGCTCATGAAAATTGAATCAGTTTTCCCGAAAGCAGTGAGACTGCTGCTCAGTTTGTTAACCCTAATGCCTTTCTGATGTCTGCCGCACAAGTTCCGATTTTGATTGATATAGCAGAGCCTCGGTAGCAGTTAAAATGAGTGTGATTTAACTATATCTCCTTTTGTATTTGGTTTGCCATCATTTCGAATTATGGCTGATGCTGTTGTCGAACACCGTTTTTGATTCCATTCAGGGACTGTATCTGAAGTTTTGTGAATTGGGAGACAGTGTATCTAATCTTTTTTATTGTACTATTGCAGGTTCCCAGTTGGAGAATCTTTTATTATAGATGGAAAGCAATCTAAAAAAGCCAGGGAATCCTGCCGACATTTCTGATGCAAAATATGTTTCCGGGCTAAGTACCATTCTGGTTGCAACCATACAGGAAGCTAAAGAACGGATTTCTCAGATAGAATATATATATTGCAGTCAGCTTTTTCCAAAATTTCAAGTAAGTTCTCAATGCTTGCAAGAAATATATTCTGAGGCGAGGGAAGCTGCAGAAAGTACATACAAGCAAAAGGAAGAGGATCTGCAGCTTCAAATTGAGAAGCTTCAGCATCAAAACCATCATGTTCTGGAAGAAAATCAATTGCTCAAGGCAGAGAAGGCAAAATTTACTGACAAGGAAAGACGATCTCGTATTCGTATCGAAGAACTTCATGAAGAGTTGAAACAGCAAACTATGGAAGCAAATGAAGTGAGGGAAGCACATCAGAATCTGCAGAAGCTTCTAGAATCCAAGTCATCCCTCTTGCATAGCTATGAAGTGACCATACGAGAGCTTGAAGATAGAAATGCTGCGCATCTACAAATGCAAAAAAAGCTCGAGTTTGAAACTGAAGAATTGAGACAGGAGCTAATGAAGAAATCGAAGGAAGTTGATGAGGTAATGGAGCTACAGAATAAGCTTCTCCAAATGAATCAAACAAAGTCCAATTTGATAGTACAGAAAGATAGCCAGCTGAAGGAGTACGAAGAGAAAACCAACGGGTTCATCTCCAAGCTTCAAAACATAGATAACAAAGCTAATGAACTGCGGTTGGAACTTAAATTCAAATCAGAAGAATTAGACAAGGGGAAAGAAATGAACAGTAATATGCTCAAAAAAATTGAGTCTCATTCCTTAGAGTTGATGAATAATGAACTACTGGTGAGTAAGTACGAGAAAGAAAATAGACTTCTTGCATCAAAAGTAGAACGTTTGGTGCTTCGTGTGGATTCTGTCCAGGAAGAACTAGAGAAGAAAAGCTTTGAACTGGAAGAGGTAAAGAAAGTGAAAGAGCAGTTGCTGGAACAAAGGGATTCTTCTAATGCTGAGAGGATCAGGGGAGGGAAAGCGCGGGAAGGATTCATGGAGGAGAGGAAGCAGCTTCTGGATAAACAGATTGGATTAGAAAATGAAGTCGATAAGCTTCGAAAAAGTCTATCTGAGAGAACAGTAGAATCTTGTGAAGGGATGAAGCTGCATGGGAAGTTGTTGCTGCAGATTGAGGTTAAAGATTCTGAGATGCTGGCTGAAAAGAAGAAAAAAAGAGACGTTATTATTGCTTACAAGAAACTGAAATCTCAATACAACTATCTCCTCAAAAAGTATGCTCTTACTTCGGAAGCTGCTTTACCTCTCGACAAAGTGGAAGATGAAATCATAACAATGGGGCACAATCAGACTCTAGTTGCATCACATGGTAAGCTTCATGGTTACCGCATGAAAATATATTTTTAATTTATCTTTCTTGTGATTTGAAGTGGACTTATTGTTTAGAATCTCTTGATTGCACCCAACAATTATGAAGCAGCAGTTGTTTCTAAAAATGAAAAAGTATCCTGCTATTTTAGCATGCAGAATTGTAGGTATAGCCGATATGTGGTTTCCCGATACTATGTTTTCAAACTTTAGTTCCACATTTTTTTTATTGGCTTGATGCATTCTGTTCACTACAACCTCTTGTCATTCTCGTTTCATTCTCTTGTTGCAGTTATGAACAAAAGTAAAGCCTCTGGAATTACCTCTGATGTAAAAAAACCACTAGACGAGAAACAAGTACCAGAGGACAAGAAAGGACCTACATTGGTTCAAAGATCTAGCCCTACCTCACCATCCACTTCAAATACTATAATTGCCTCAAAACAGGCCAACAACATAAAATCTTGCCCCATAGGTCTGAAACGCCCTATTTCTTACTGGAGGGACACGAGGTTGCACCACAGCCACATAGGACCCGATCCACACGATAATTTCATGGATACTCCTCTGGAAAATGTGAAGCAGAACAAGGGGAAGGCCGTGAAGGAAAATGATTATGGTATCCATAGACTGGGCCCCATAAACATGAGCCTCGATGACTCTGACGAACAAATGCAGGGCATGAATGTTGATGACGGCCTGCGAAATCCGCATACATTGGCCACCAAGGCTGGGACATCAGGATTTAAGTACGTGGGGCCTGTACGTAAAAAGATCGAGAGGGAAAATCTGAAAGGTATCAAGTGCAAGCAATGCAAGAAGTTCTATGACGCTGTTTTGTCCGGCTCAGGGAAAGGCTCCAATGGTGGTGATAAGCAGAACATCCACTGTGAGCATCATGATGGAGTGTCAAGGCACCGGTATAAGTATGTGCCTCCGTTGACTCCTGAGGGGTTTTGGGATATTGGATTTGAATCAGATATGTAGGTTGTCCGAGTTAGTTGTGTATTACGGATTTAGAAATAAGAGTGACAGTATGTACAACATTATTTCCCAATCAAGAAATGTAACTAACAAACATGCAATTAGAGAAAGCATACACATTGTTGTATCTGTTGTTAATGGAAGTGTACTGGTTTCACTTTAGGCTGGGATATTAGGAGCCATTTGCATTTCAAACTGAGCCATTTGCATTTCAAAGTGTGAAATTAATGTTCACGAATTTTAACGTAATATTTGCATAACCTGAGATGCATGGGCACGCGGCCCGACGTTACCTGCAAGTGAGAATGCCATTAGTGTAAATAGCAATTTACACCCAGCCAATTAATATACCAAGTTTTTATATTGCTAATTATTAAGTTACTAAGTGAAACAAATTTTGCAATAACGCGACAGACAAGCGAAGATAATTGAGAAAGTGAGAAATAATTATGCGACAAACATACGGAGTTAATTGAACAAGTGCGCTATGCAATAGTGCGACATACCGAGAAATATATTTGCGCAAGAGGGATCTCATTATGCGATAAACTATGCGAAATTAATTGAGCAAGTGTGAAATAATTATGCGATAAATTGTGCGATAGACAAAAAGAGATAATAAGCAAGTGCAATCTTATTATATGATAGACATATGAAGATAATTGAGCAAGTAATTTCTTATTATGCGATAAACTATGCGACATGTAGACGACGAATATGCAGAGAATTGCTTGATCAGTGCAGTCAATCGTGGGTCTATCGCATCTCAGTCGCAGATCAGCTTCTTGCACTTGTTTTTTTTTTTTTTTTTTTT